TATATATATATATATATATATATATATATATATATATATAATGTGTATATGGGTGTGTGTGGGTGCATACATATACATTGAGACCCAATCTTTGATTAAGACGACAATTCAAAAGCCGCGCGCAAAACAAAGCGGCCCCGCGTACCGCGGCAAATAAAGATGAACGGGTCTTCCCCACGCTTCAAGCCGGGGGAAGCGAGGAGTTCGTTGCCGGCACGGAGACAATAGCGAGTAAAAGCAGGGGCGTGAAACTTGGCGGTCAAAACGGGGTAATGATTTCTTCGCCGTCTACAGCAGGTCCGTAGTGAGCCGAACTAAACATGTGACGTCATGCAATTCAAAAAGCTGGCAAATGTCACGTGACATTATCGCAACCGTTCCAAGAACATCGGAGCGGCTAGTTCGCTTGTGGCAGGACCTGAGTGTTAACATGTGAAAACCATTAGTTTCTCATCGTGGCAAAGAGAGTTACTAATACTACTATACACAGCGAGGGTCGCGAAATCATTGCCCGAGTGATTGAAATATGTGATAAGGAGAAAGAAGATACATTTTTAAATTTACCTTTCAAAGCCATTCGGAAAGAAAATAAAAAGATGAATGAGAATAGCCGAAATCGGAAGCTGAAGTCTCCTGGGCACGTGGCAATTCTGTCCATGTAGATAGTTTTGACCGGTGTGTATCCGTAACTATTCCCAAGGAAACATAATAAAATTTCAAAACTTGCTCAGATTTGAAAACTGGAATGAAGTATATAAGGCAACTGAAACAAATGATAAGATTAACTCATTCTATAATATATACTTAAGACATTTCATTGCCATTTTCCCTCAAAATGAAAAATATCCAAAATAAGAAAAACTAAATCATTGATTACCACAGGCATCAAAGTGTCATGTGAAAAAAACGCAACATGTTATAAAATACTAACAAATAACAAATGTACTCAAACTTCATTTCATATTACAAAACATATAATTCGATCCTAAAAAAGTAATCAAACAAACAAAAATTATAAACAAATGATAAGTACATTGCAATTGCACGTAATAAAACAAAGCCTTGTGGACATTATTTAAAAGACTACAGCACCAACTATAATAACAAAAAAAACGTAGAGCTCACTACAAAAACGAAACTACAAGACCACAAGAAATTGCTGATATATTCAATGAACACTTTTCACAAATTAGAATAAGTTAATCTCTCAACCACTCTAAACAATGAAACACACCAACAACACTAATATACACAA